CTAGGGTAGCTATAGGGAAGGCTAGGAACGGTCGTAGGCTCTGGCCATGTTGTGGATGCTTAGACAGTACATGTATAAGTATAAGAGTGTATAGGCCATGCAGCATGTTGCAACAAAGGATCGTGGTGATAAAAGAAGAACAAACTAGAGATGTAGCCAACACACGATAATTGTCATTTAGCCTAGGGGCTTATTAGGCAAGAACGCAAGTGATTGTACATATGTTAGGTTTTTGTGTGCTATTGTCTCTTGCAGCTATAAGTTTCGCCCGTTCGACATCAAATCCTAGCGAGAGAAGATAGTTAGCAATGTCTTACCTCTGTAACTGTCCAAGTGTTACTGTATTTTAGTCATGTTAAATTAACATACTCTCAGGAAGTCAGGCAGCTGCATAACAGAGAGAGTTTTGGATTGGAACCCACAGGGCAAGAGGTCAAGGGGAAGACCTCGTGGAACCTTGAGAAGAATCACAGAAATCGATGTACAGAGAAGTGGGAAGACATGGAATAACATCAAGAGGCTAGCCCAGGATAGAGAAAAGTGGAGGCTGTTTGTCCGTGGCCTATACCCTGGTGCAGGGTGAGAAAGGCAATGATGATGATGAAATGAACATAGATCTGCACTCTAGTTAAGCTATGTGGATAAAAATCTATACTACGTATTATCACATTGTGAAGTGTTATTATTGTTTGTGATGTTAAGTCCTGTTGTTAGTCTATAATTAAGTGCCATGACACGGTGGAATAAGGCGCTTGTCAAGTTTTTGGTATATTATTGAGTTATTGTCTTTATTTGTTTTGCTTTTGATGAAAAAAAATACCCATCTTGAACAGAAGGTTGAGATATTTGCGACTGAAGGATTGAAGGTGGGAGTCACCTGGTGTCAGATGTAAAATTACCGGTACAATTATTATTATGGCCACCTAACTTTGGTGACTTCCAAAGCTGGGGTGAGCTTGGCAATTGCAAATTCACTTTTTTTTGTGCCTTTGATCAACGTTTTTCAGTAAAATCCAAGCATTGGTGTATTTTTAAATGGACAAAAATGTGTTGAGCCTAAAACAATTTTTTTTAAAGAGTGTAAATTGCCCAATGGAGGGGGAAAAGTCGAATTTTTAGATTTTATTATTTTGACAAGCGTCTGATTTCACCAGAAAGCCACAAATATGAAGTCTTGTTATAATAACATTGGATCACGAGCCACAGTGTGTGTAACCAGTACATGTATGTAACAGTTTTATTCGACGGGAGAACAAGCTTGAACATACTGTTTCACACCCGCCAACCACCCACACAGACATCTGGCTACTTGAAACTTGAAAGAAAGCTGCTCCCTTGTGTGTGTTTGTGTGGGGGGGGGGGGGGGGGGGGGTGTACACGTATTACACTTGCGAACATAAAAACTTCAACGGTCAGCCAACATTACGCTTGCGAGCCTATCCGATATCGGGGCAAATATCGGATTTTGCTCTGGGATGAGAAAAGTCTACCATTTTTGTGTACATAGACTCTAGTTTTTATCCACTGTGAACAATAAAATTAAACCCACATTCCTGATGCGGCCTCATACCAGTATGAGACAGTCCCAAGCCTGTCAACACAGAGGGGAATGCATGCATATTATATTATTACGATTGAAGAAGTGGAGAGCCATCTTCAGCCTTCTTATGCATTACGAGTACAACTTGATTACAAATCATTAGGTTCGCACAAGCAATGCTTTAACTTTAAGTTTTGTTCAAATAGTAATATTATAGGTTTGCAACTGTAATATTAAAATTTGCTCAAAATTGAATAGGTTCCAACTGTAATGTTTTGAAAAGGGAGTGTATACAGACCCGGTAACCGGGAACAAAATCACAAAGTTTACAGACCCAGTAGGGGAACACATGCGGCTAGCAGCAGCCCGTCAGCCAGAAGGTGATTGGCTGTGGGTAAGCTAGTGGTGCTCTGATTGGCTGTGGTAGGCCAGTGGTGAATATTGTGTTGGGCCTATGATTCCAGTTTTAGCGGTTCGGAAACTTCTGAAACAGTGCTGTAAATATATGAAGCCTAATCTACCTGTTCCAGTAAGGAACTGTGGTGGCCGAATGGACAGCGTGACTGCGTGCGGAGTGAACGGGCGTGGGATCGAATCCTGGAAAATACTCTTTTTTTTTTTTTTGCCTCCTTTCTTCTCCTCCTCCCGACTGACCCCTCCTTTCTTCTCCTCCTC